ACAGAGGAGATCCAACAATTTTCAGTTGGCCAGTTCTTTCTCTGGGTGAAACATACCATACATACTATCATCGTCAAATAGCTTCTCTCAAATGTGGCCAAACTAACCACTGTCATATGTTAGCACAAATGTGGATAATACTTTGGCACCCTCCAGTCTTTGCTTTATGAAATGTCTGGAGAATCTCTTGTTATATAACTCTGAAGACCAATAGCTGCAGCACAGTCAGATAACTACAGCTCAGTGGCATATACCAATGGTACAGCATATCTTCCTGCACTTTTAACTAACCATACAAGTGCATACATTCTATGCTCCTTTATTTGTGCTAGTCATGCTTTACCCTACTGCATGGCAAGTAGCATCTTCAGTAGCTATTCCCATAGCTCCTACAGAGTTAATCTTGACATTCATCCACCAGCAGAATCTTCTACATCATGGCTTGCCATTGCTATAGTGGAAATGGCTTTGGTTTCAACTACCAGACAGTGTCCAGAGTCAGGATTTTCCATGAATGGAGAAGGTCTCACAGTATGGTAATATTGTCGAACCATGTTCTTAACCTGCATTTCCAGATTTCCAGGTGATCCAACCATACTATCATCCTTTTCAGATATTTGAAGTTCATTAGCCACTTGAGCAATGCAGGTTGCACCTAAATGGCAAACCTCCTATCATACAGGAAGTAGTAGTGATAGTATTTCAAGAAAAGCATAAAAGCAATCTGTTCTTTCTTTATTGTACAGCATCTGCATTCAGAAGCCATGTGCAAAAGACTAGCATATGAAATTACACATTATACTCCATCCTGCAACTGCAATAATGCTGCTCCAATTCTGTTTTCACTGGTATCAGCATCCAATAGAAGTTCATGGTCTTGTTATGGATAGGCTAAAACTGAAGTGTCCACTAAAACAAGCTTTAGGGAACATAACAGGAATAGGAAATTGTGAGAGGAGATAATGATGCTGCTATTATGGAGAAGTTTGCCACAAATCATCAGTAATACACATGAAACTGGGGAATCTGTATACTTTTCACTTGGTCATAGAGGCCAATCTCTCACTTCAGCTATGATAGCCAGATCTGTAGATTCCAGCTCTCCCTACTATTTGAGCAAGAAACTTCACTCCTGTCTGCACAAGCAAGCACTTTTCATGTTTCAAGTTCAAGCCTGCTTTATTCATCAAGTGTGACACCATTCTAAGGGTGTCAGCTGCAGACTTGAACATGCAATCAAACACCAAAACAAACCATTGTAAATGTAGACAAGGTATCTTTCCCATTGCAGTCCTTTCAGTGTAAGCTCCATTGGCTTCTAAACATGGCTGGCATGTTGCACAGGCCAGATGATATGGTGCATAATTTATACAAACCATTTTTCATGCTAAAAGGTAATAGCATGACTTTTGATAGCATGTAGTGACTTACAGATGATATGACGTATAGTTCATACAAACCATTTTTCATGCTAAAAAGAGATCTTACAACTGATTTCATTGTCCAGCTCAAACTTCCAGTAACCAGATCTAAAGTGTTGAACCAACAGAAACCTTCTAACATGTTCAGACATTCAAATGTATGTAGGAAAGTCATCAATGTAAGTGACCACATTTATCCATCTGAAATCAACACAGAACTTTGGTATAACTTCCTTCTTCCTCATAATTACCATTGGAGTTCACCATGTACTCTCCAAAGGTTGTTCCACTTCACCCTTTCACTGTATTTCAGCATTGGTGTAATTCCTAGTGCTCCAGGGAAAAAAGTATGCTTGTTTTTATCAGATGTGCATCATCTGTATCTAGATTGTGCCAAGTCACTGATGTTTGACCCAATTGACCATCTAGTCCCATAAATATATGGCCATATTCAACCAACAAGCTAGTGAGCTGATTTAGCTGTACTAGGCCTATATTATTTGCACAAAATTCTCAACCAATGACCTCAGAAGTGTTGGCAGGCACATAACTGCTTTGCTGCAGTGTGACAGACACAACTGTTTGTTTTTTTGGAATTAAGCACAAAGCTACACACAATGGGTTATCTGTGCTCTGCCCACCACGGGTATCGAAAACCAGTTTCTAGCATTTTAAGTCTGCAGACATACCACTGTGCCACTGGGGGACCAGACACAACTGTAAAATTACCAATAACATCTGTTACTTCCACTTTAACCCTATTGCCATGGGCACCTTTTACTGTGCATATCACAAGGTTTTAGTGACTTACATTCAAAATTTTATGAAATTACTTTTTGTTTATGTTATACCAATTAGTATAACATAAAATCATATCTAATAATCCATATGTTAATAGTATATAAGTTTTAAGTTCTTAATTAATAAAGGCGATGTATAACAAATTCCTGAATTTCCTCTAGTGCGACACATTTTCTCTAGGTATCTCCTCTTCTCTATTTTATTAACCACCCCTCCAATAAGTATAAATTTAATGTAAATTACTCACTATAAAATCGTCAT